CTCTCTCTCTCTCTCTCTCTCTCTCTCTCTCTCTCTCTCTCTCTCTCTCTCTCTCTCTCTCTCTCTCTCTCTCTCTCTCTGAAGAAGAAGAAGAAGAAGAAGAAGAAAAAAGGGGAGGAGGAGAAGAAGAAGAATAGTGGCTATGGAGGGGCGGAGAAGAATCAGGAGAATCAGAAGAAGCACTCTCTTCTGTCGCGCGCTCCTGATGACGATGCCACAAATACTGACCAGCGAAGGTGATGACTCGCGATGCAGGTCGCTGCTGAAGGCCGGTCCCATGACCAGTATGAAGTCCCAGCTATGGCGCCTAGGTAAGTGTCTCTCTCCCTTGTGGACATGGCCTCCGCCAAACCTCTCCACTCTTGCCTACTCCTCTACTCCTCCAGTCCTGCTCTATCGCAGCTCTCCCCCAAACTGGCGCTGCTCGAGCAGTGTGACGCTCAACTGAGGCTCCAGCCCGAATGTCCTCAAAGTGGAGGACTGGCCCAGCTAGATACCGCTGGGCCTGGCTGAGCAGTCCTCGGTCTGCAATCAGGACCGTTGGATCTGATGTCCGATCAATGGTCCTGATCGCAGGCCCAAGTCATGGTCCTGTGATCCTGGCCAAAAACGGCCTGCCTGGGTCCCTACTGGACGTTCAGGCAACCCTGCTGATGCAGCAGGGTCCTGAGGGCTGGGCCAGGCACAAACAGATGAATGCCTGGTCCAGTCCCAGATACGGACAAATCTGAACCTGGCCAACAACGGCCGAAACTGAAATCCACTGTCCGAACAGGCATCTGCCTGTTCGGACAAAAGGAAAAGTCCGAACCAACACATCTGAAACAGACAAAAATAGTTCAGACGAAACCCAGCAAAAATAATAAACGCTGAATAAAGGAGAGCACACGTGTAACCAATTGTGTGCCTGGCCTGGAAAAATGGCTGCAGGCCTCCAGGTCACTCACCAAAATGGGTGCGCGGCCTGGGGGCCTGGAACAACCGTCGGGCCCCAAAACAGGGCCCGTGTAGTGGCCTCAGCATGCATGCTACAAAAAGACATGTTTAGAACTTGAGAACAGGAGGTGCAAAGTGAAAAGCCACTTTTAATGACATAAACGAACAGCAGAAGGGAAAATTGTGAAGCAGCAGGGATACAATGAAGCACATAAAATGCAAAGAAAAGTCGAGGAGCAGTATATGCTTCTCGCAATTGAATGGAACCTTGTTCCCGTCGCCCACTTTTTGAATTAAATAAACAGGTCAAGAGTGACAAGTGGAAAATGAAAAGCCATTTTCGGATGATGACGAAAGCAGCATCTGGCTCTCTTTTACCTTGTTGTTATGGACTCAGTTTGCGTCTATCTATAAGAGCTTTGTGCAATGCATCCCAATGAATCGGGATATTCATTTTTTTTTTTTTTTAAATGCTTTGTGCGAACACAAACCGGTGTTCATGCAATCAGGGGCTGTGCCGCTGGGGCCAGGTGTGCGAGAGGCGTTGGAGGCCTGCCTGCTGGAACATGAGCAACGAGCCCAGTTCTCTTTGGAGGAGTTGAAGAAAGTCCTCTGTGACACCCAGAATGTAAGTGTTATTTTGATTGTGGTTGCACGTTTATGACTTAATTGCATCTGGAGTCTGGACTGTATTGTGATCATGTTTGACTCGACCACTCAATCCTTCGGTGTCTGTACGTGTTTTTTTTCAGCATCGCATGAACGAACACACCTATCGGCATCCCTCTTTGCTGCTGTTTCCACTTTTTATATGTATGAGTATATTTTGGACGTTTTTCCTGCTTGGGTAAGTCATGGCGGTGTTTTTCAATGACCTTTCTATGGAAGACTGCCTCTCCAAATAGCTTGTCACCTTGTTTCCTGATGAAGTTTTCATCATACGACCAGAGCTTTTTGGTCCGATTAATGTCTGGAAGACGGTCCTTTGGGAGGGACGCAGAGAAGTTTAGCATGTCCCCTGTGCAGGAATGAAAAATCGAGAAATCGTCCAAATTGGCAAATTATCCGATGAGAAGTTCGGATGGCTGCTGAGATTGCTAAGTGTCGTGCTAAGTTGTACCCTGTACACTGTTGTCAGAGTCTGCCTCATATCATCTTCTTTTTTTTTTTTTTGAATTTAAGAAGGCTAATTCTTTAAGCACAACCAATTCAAATACCTGTCAAATCTGGACAGGACGGCCTTTCAGGCCTTTTTTCTTTTTTGGTCATTATACTAATTATAGTATTATGGGGAACCCTGTAGCGGCCACATCCGTGCTCAAGCCTCCAACGAAGGAATATGCGGGCGCTGCACCCATCAGCAGGTGCGATACCTGTGCAAGGAACATGAATATGGAAGAAGCACAGAAATCCAAATTGCGAAATCACACTGAAGTCCAAGTAGTCAAAGCAAGAGCAGATAGCACAATGGAACCGAGTAACCATCCATTTGAGAACGATACAGCAGAATCGTGAGTCAATGTTCAAGCCCAATCGGGCAACACCAACAGCATAACCCAATGTAGCTCTCTCTCTTGAATGGCGCCTGGCGCCCTACCTACTCTACAGCCTATCTCTACAACTACAGCATGGAAGCAACCAGACAACTTGACGACCAGCGAGTGATGACGTCAACACCAATGCCGACCTCCTCTCCACCCAGGTACGTCTCTCTCTTCACCCACACTCTCTCTTGATAACCCACACAGCGCCCTTCACCTCCGAAGAACCACCTTCGCCCTCACCTCTCCCTTCTGGCACCCACCTCACAGCCCGGCTATGGCTGCCAGTGCCCTGCGCCCTCTGCCCTGGCTGCGCCCCTACCGCAATAGCGCTGCCAGCGGCCAGCCCAGCCTAGCGCTGCCCTGCACCTGCGTTCGCTAATGCAGCAGCGTGCCGGCATCGCGCGCCATGGCCAAGTCCCCTGCCCACTCGCACTCTCTGCCTATATGCCCGTGTTGCGTGTGGGCGGCCTGCCTTGAGCCTGCGTCTGGGTCCCAGTAGCTGCGCCCAGGCCCAACCCCGATGTGGCCCAGGAAGTACAGTTGCGCCCCTTATGCCAGGGCTGTGGTCCAGATGCAGACCCTTTCCGGTTTCCCATTGGTTTGCTCGGCCTCTACGACGGCAATGCTGCTTTCTGATTGGCCAGCGTCCAATGTGTGATGTGTCGGCCTTCCCTGGCCTGTGCCCAGGGCTCAACCAACTGAGGCCCTGGGCTCAACTGCTTCTCGAAGGAGTCTGGGTTCCACGATGCACTCCAACCAACTGGCGTGCTGCAACTGTCGGATACCCACTTTACAAAAATGTTGAAAGAAAGGCCTGTTCGTGGATATTCTGACCAGGCACGAGGCTTGCTGGGGGCCTATGCCCAGAACATATGCATGTCGGCAAGGCCCCTTTGAGGGATCAATCCTCACACCTGCTACAGCAGGGGGACGATACCGGCCATGGGTCAGCCGGTAGCATCAGGTGGAGCACCTGTGCGGTGTGGTGCATTCGGCTCGGTGTGTGGATTCGTGATGCATGTGCACCACGTGCACCACGTGCAACATGTGCACAGGTGCAGTGTGCTGGGCTATGCATGAGTGCAGCTCGTGCCCGTGCACAGGTGCGGCTTTTGTTAAGTTTTTTTTTTTTATGTGTATAAGAGACAGGTCCATATCTCCCA